AATATCTCAATTAATTGGGTTGCAAAGGTTGTACAAATGCACAAGGTTGTAAAAGAAATATACCATATATATATATATATATATATATATATATGTGGTGTCTAATTTTGTTTTACGTACACTTGACAATATACATGTTAGAATGGCCCCATTCCACATGTCTCTTGCCAGCTTTCATTTGTCTTATTTTCGAACAAAAATTGGTAACTTTTAAAATAGATAAAAATGGGTTGAAAGATCTGACTTTTTTAAGCGAAATAACTATAAGAACATGAAATACAATTTCAAAGAAAAGTTACATTTGTATTGAACCCGTTAAAACTTATTTATGCCACATATACACTGGTATGACGATCGTATAATTTCTTCCTATTCATTCATGACGATCGTACAATTTCTTCCTATTCATTCATAACTTATATTGAACAACAGCAATTAAATATATTGTCATAATTTATGAATCATAAGATTAAAACATATGACTTTTTATGACGATTTTGACAGATGTTCCGGATAGTGCAATAATCTTGAGGAAGCATGGGGTGGCCAGCAATTTGTTTTCATGTCTTTTGTTCAATGAATTAGAAGCATTTAACCCAAGAGACCAATTGGCCTTTGCATTTGTGAGGGACCAAATGAACCCAAGCACGAAGCTCAATATGTTTGATGTCCAAGTATTCGAACATGTCGCATCGGAGTATAGACACAACATTAAACAAGGTGGGTTTGATCGGACCCAACCAGCTAGAACCAAGCGTGCTAGCCCTGATTTGTCAGCTAATGGCGTTGGTCGTACCAAATGCGAAAGATACTTGGCGGAAATGTGGGGTGAATCAGAAGAATGACGTTTAATTAGTCGATGGATGGTGGCAGGAGGTCGTGGCTAGCGGGGTATAATTGGTTGCTAGTTTTTGGTTAAAATGTGTATAATTTTTGCTAGTTTCAACGGCCTTTGGTTGGATCGACATTGTATCTTTCTTATATAGAGGAAATTGTCTTCGGGATATTGTGATTATTGTTAACAATAATTTGAAATAAAAGTTGTATATTCTCATTGATTGTAAGCGGAAATCATCTCTATAGCAACGAAAGCTCGCATATAGTTGCTATAGGAATTAAGTTTAATATTCTTTTTAAAAGCAAATGCTGCAATAGGTGCTCAAAAATAATTGGAAATTAAGTTTTTTCAAACAAATACACACGTGCTGCGACGATGGGTCGTTGCAAAAACTCTTCAAATTAAATTACTTTTCCTATTAAAATACAAGTTCCTTTTTTTAAAACATATTCATTAAATTAAGAAAATATTTAAGTTTTTTTTAAATGGATTAATTTACCGGCGAAAACTTTATCCGCCGCAAAAAATAATTTAAGATTATTTTTTTAAAACCTAATTTTTTTTTTAAATATTACTGGTAGATATGTCCACCGGTAATCCGCCAGAAATGTTTTACAATTTTTAATTTTAGAATATTTTTACAATAAATATTTAAAATCCGTAAATCTGTAAAACATTAAAAAAACTAAAAAAACGAAATGCAATTGAAAATCATACATTAAACTAAACAACAATTGTTCCAACCAATTTAAAGTAGCATACAATTGTTACAAACAAAAATTAAATTGTTCTAAATAAACATACGACATTTAATTCGGTGGTGGGGGAAATGTTGAGATTGACCGAGCTGTCTAACCAAAACAGCTATATCTTGAAGTTGTTTATCCTGTTGCTCCTCCTTCTCCAACCGTTGCTCCTCCTCCACCCACCGTCGCTCCTTCTCTCGCTGATTTTCTTCGTGTGAACCTCTAAGTGCGGTTCTTAAGGTTTTAATTTCCTATAAAATAAATAAAACATCATAATATTTAATATGAATTATAAATTAAATCGATAAACATCATCAAAGAAAAATAGGCACATACCCGACTCTCTGAAGACGATGAACCACCTTGTGTGTAGTTCCCAGTCAAGATCTATTTGGGATCCTGGTTGTACCCAAACCCAAATATACGATCTTTCTTGCTTTCCTCAACCGCATGCTCCCACAACTCTTTATCAACTAAGTGATAGGTGGAAGGATCATTGTCGTATCTTTGGGTGAGACTGGTTGAATAGTTATCTTATATATGGTTTAAAAAAGATTGCAAATCAATTTTGATAGCATGACAGTTGTACATGGACGTTTCCACGCTAGTGATGGCCAAATCGGCCCTGTCCAAGACCGCCGGAGAACCGGGACTGGTTATGGGATCGAAAACCGGGACCGGTTGGGGTTTTTGGTAGTTTCGTGGTACCGGGACCGATTATGAGACCGGCCCATCCCGGCCTGAAAATTCAAATAAATTTATAAATAAATGTATTTTTAAATAGTTTTATAATGTATTTTTATAAGACAATGCAATTTTAATGATATTAAAATGCATTTTTAAAGAGTATTTGAGTGACCCAATTATAAATTTTATAATGTATTAAAAATATATATCATTAAAAAATTAAAAAAAATCTTAGTTTTTAATGCCGGGACCGGCAGCCCATAACCGATTATGAAGTACCTTGACCGGTACTACCATTTTCGACCGGGACCGGCACCGGTTATGGCCGGTTATGAGAAAGCTTGGGACTGCTTAGGCACGGCTCGGCCCGGGACCGGTTTTTGGCCATCACTATTCCAGACAAAACAATCCTAACGTTTTCTCAACAAATGAAATCCTAACGTTTTCTCAACAAATGACAACCCAAACTAAATATTGATACATACGAAATTTCTAACTTAAACAACCCTAATGTTTTCCCAATAAATGACAACCCAAACTAGATTTTAATTTAAATGACTCGAACGTTTGCCCAGCCTAGATAGATAGTTATATATCCAATTATACACATTAAAATAGATAGATATACTTACCATGACTCGACTACACTTAAAGGTCATGTACCCCCCAAAATTTGTAGATGCGACATCTTCACTTGACCTCTTCTTATGCGTATAATCGAACAATTCCACAACGGTCGGTGGCACGCTGTCTTTTGCTTTTCTTTACAAAGGTCAAATAATACGAACATGTATTAGTTATAACATATTAAAAATCAAGATACTAAATTAATGGGTTTTAGGTCCTACGAGACGAGCACCATGCTCCGAAAATGGGATCGATCCACCGGTGTGTAGCGCAACTTGGCTATCACGGTTTCCATGTGCCACACCAAAAACAACTTTCGAGTTGTCATTGTTCCAACGATCGACCATCTGGCTCCACACATCTGAAGACATCCAGCTCGAAGTTTTTCAACACACTCATATCCAGGGTTTCATCGTATTGAGGATACCCATTCCTCTTTTCTTTTTCTCCAGCTTTCTTCCTCGTGCCACTCAAGTTGTCATTATATAGCTTGGCCGACTTTCTCTCCCATGTCTCTAGGATCTGGGCGTCTAAAGCCGGATCCCAAGTGTAGTAGCCTTGTACGTAAAAGTTTAGTGGAAGTAGCAAAAATATAACAAGTTGAATATATACCACGAACCTGGAAGCGCTCCCACATTCGGCGTCTCACGTCCCTTGGGATTTTTTCCCAACTGACCTATGGGCCGTCAAGCAGCTCTCGGTTGATCTTGGTGATCCGACGGATCACTCTAGTGTCATTAAAACTATATAAATAATGAATTGAGTTAGCATCAATACAAAAAATAATTATTTTTATCAATTAAAAGATATAAATGTTACTCCTTGTTGCGGATGCCAATAACCGTCCGCTGTTGTGCAAGCGGCTCCAGAGCAGCACTACCACGACCAGACTCTATCTCCTCCGGGTGTGCCGAAACACTACTAGAGACTCTATCCGTACTGTGGCTAGGTGTACTGCCACTACTAGAGACTCTACCCGTACCGCGGCTAGGTGTACTGCCACTACCTCGACCGATAATCCGAGTACGCAACATCGATTTTTTTACAACGTAACGTTAGAAAACATACAACAATAATTCAAGTATAAAATAAATATTCCACACAATAATAGATGTCGAACAATGGTTTACTAAGATTTAAAAATGGATATAATAAAGATTTAAAACAACTAGACAAAGTTTACTAAGACTAAAAGTTACATGAAAATTTAATCATCTGAGGAGTGATCAGACAAGTCAAGTTCTTCGTCCTCAAAGTCACTATCATAGTATTAGGACTCCTCTTCTTCGTCACTACTCTCATCAACGTGCTAGTTGTCGCGACGATCATTGGCAACTTCGATGTCGTCTTCACCTGTGACAAGATGGATGGGTTCTTGAACATCTTCATTCCCCCCCCCATGTTGGGTTATTCTATCATTTTTCCTGAAAAAACTGTTCATCGTTCATATTTTCACCCGACGATACTACAGGGGTACTCGATGCTAAGTCATAAACCCCTCTTGGCTTTGTCTTCACCACAAACCACCAATCTTTTAATGAATTTGATGGATATGATACATAATAGACTTATTCAGCTTGTGATGCTAGGATGAACGAGTCGTTTGAACGAAGTCTTGATCTATGTTTGACGTCCACGAGAATATGTTTTGGGTTAACTCAGACGCCGTTAACTGTATCAAACCATGTGCATCTGAATAGTGGGACAACACAATGGCTGAGCTCATACCCATGATATTCTATATCGAGGACTTCATCCAACAACCCATAGTAGTCGGCCTCGTAATCTGAGTAACAATACCCTCTCATGCATACTCCACTACTATGTGTGGTATGATTTCTACCATGAGCTAGCATGTGGAACTTGTAACCCTTTAGAAATAACTCCTGGTGTCTCCAAACTGTACGTAACAGTTTGTATGCCAAAATCCTAACAAGATCTATAGCAGGGTCTGACCGAGACATAACCTACAATCATATCATTTGTAATATTTTATTAAGTACATATAAATAATGATGAATTAAAGTTAAAATGTAAAGACTTACGTGGGTATGAAACCATCCAGCAAAGTGATCGCTTCTACGTTTGTCAAGACCCGCTTCATCAATATATGGCTCTCTACTTATAATCTTCTTATTGAAGATATCTATGAACATAAAAACTTCTTCACAATTCAATAAAATGTAGGTGTGAGCTTTATGCATATCTTCATCCGATAGATTAAATGCGTTCTGTCTTTATTAAATAATCCTCGACATAGAGTTTTAAATATCTTTAACTGTTGGTCTGAAGACGAACAATCGGGGGCAAAATTCGAGGCTCACGATTTAGCCGTGTCTCTACCGTTGTTCCAAAATACAATGAGCAGTAGGTATATAGTTCATTAACCAAATATGCTTCTACAATTGACCCTTCTACCCTTGGTCTGTTTCTCACTGTCCTTTTCGACGACCCTAGACGTCTCTCATAGAGATACATCCATCGATAATGAATCAGACCTACAACTATTGCTTCACATGCCAAATGCACCACAAGGTGTTCCATGGAATCAAAGATCCCAGTGGGAAGACTATTTCCAACTTGCAGATAGTTTCCACTATACTTGTCTATAATTGAAGCAAGCCGTCAATGTGTAACACCTTTGAGCATATTGCACGAAAGAATGTGTACAACTCAGTGATAACATCCCATATTGGAGCCGATACCATATCTTTTAAAGAAAGAGGGAGAAGTCTTTGCATAAACACATGAGAATCATGACTTTTGAAGCCATAGAAACTACCATCTTCAATGTTTACAAATGCACCTATGTTAGAAGCATAGCCGTATAGGAATTTAAGCTTCTTCAACCATTCACACACCTTTCCCACTTGCTCTTTATTCAATGTGTAAGAAGTTTTTTTTTTAAATTTCTATTTTGTTCCTCCCTTACATGCAACTCCGGTCGATTGCAGTATCAATGTCTTTCCTTGCTTTTATATTGTCCTTTGATTTTGGGGTGTCCATGATGGTGTGAAAGATATTGTCAAACACATTCTTTTCAATGTGCATTACATCTAGGTTATGTCGGATCAATAAAGTGTGCCAATATGGCAGCTCCTTGAAAAT